GTCTGTCTTAACTTACCTCGGACACCATAGTAGTGAACATTGTATCAAACTTGTATGTTGTGCAGTTATCACAGCATCTGTTCACTCCTCCGCATGTCACGTTCTCAGTTGCGCACTCAAAGTTCGGTGTTCCAGTAACAAAAATCAAATGAGAGAACTGTATATTCTGTGCCACAAGGATCATACAGGTTCCAAAAACCACTTTCTTTTGGTAGCTATCAAATGGATTCACGTGGTGGAAGATATCATCGTACTCGACATATCTGGTCTCTTCCATGTCTGCCAGCTCAAGGTTGAAAGGCCTTTAACAATGAAAGCTTTGAAAAAATGTACCGAGTAAACTCCTAAGAACGAACTTCAGTTATCGTTTAAAAGGTGGCTACGTGGTTGATCTAAAAATAGATTGGTCTACCAATTGCTTACTATCAATCACGTGACTTTTTGGAGTTGACTGGGGGGCAAAYAAGCGGTTGACTGGGGGGCAACTAGCGGATGCTAAGTCAAAACAAATCAAAATAAGTCCTCAAACTATTGTATTTGACTATTTTCACGACATCAAACCAGAAAACAAGAGATCAAAACAACCTCCAGGATTTTACAAGCCATCAAAAAAGAGCTATTACCGGACGTGACGTCTATTGATAGCAACCTATAGCTCCATGTATGACCGATACAAACTGGCTTGTTTGAGCAAGGGCACTAGGACAAAAGCCATTGTGTAAATTTAAAAGCCATGCATTGTTGCACGTTATTGTACTTTAGCATCTAATCATCTAGGATGTGGATGGGGTTTACAATTTGACAATTGGCCTAAACTAGTAGTTATAACTGACAGATAAACTAAAATTAGTAGTTAAGAGTTAACTGATATTTCATTGTTTTGGTTAAATTCTGGAGGAAAAATTAATTTCCGACCTCACTGGGAATCGAACCCACGACCTTCGGAATTGTACTACCGATGCTCTACCAGCTGAGCTAGAGGTCAGACTGAAAGCAGGTCGGGGTGAAATAGATGTTAGGTCGCGGTAATTATGATGCAACGATGAGAATATGTGGACCGCGTAGCACTTAATACATACACATATTATCATACATGAAGATACATATACATATTCTCATCGTTGCATCATAATTACCGCGATCTAACATCTATTTCACCCCGGCCTGCTCTCAGTCTGACCTCTAGCTCAGCTGGTAGAGCATCGGTAGTACAATTCCGAAGGTCGTGGGTTCGATTCCCAGCGAGGTCGGAAATTAATTTTTCCGAATTTAATTCCAAGGGCTTTCGCCCGGAATAACCTC